GATGGCTTCCGGGGCTGTGAAGAGGGTTCAGAAGGAGGCACAAGCTGGGGCAGAGATGACGAGGGCCACGCTCACTGATTTTCTGCCACCATGCTTACCCTGGCCGGCGCTGCACTTCGTACAGAGCAGAGGCTTTGGAAACCCCGTGGCTCCTCTGCCCCATCCTCAGCTGCCCTGTTGCTTGAGCAGTTGTGTGGCTGGCTTGTTGCTTGCCGAGAGTCCCCTGGGCCAGCGCTTCCCATGGGGCTGGGGAGTCCCCAGTACAGGGTGGTGCCTGCCCCATCGGCCCAGCAGCTTCTTAAGGATACTATTAGGACTGGGTTCCTTCCTTGCTCCTGGCTCTCGCCTTCCTGGGCAGAGAAAGGACCTTAGCTCTCCCCTCCCCCTTGGGGCTCCCTCCAGCCTGCACCTGGCTCTGGGGACCCTGGCAGCGTACAGCAGCTGCGGAGGAGAGGGCAGGAGCCGCAGCTGGCCAGGAGGCCGCTCCTGTCCCATACTGAGTCTGGTGTCTGATAATGAATGCGTGCCCATGTCTCCTGTCCCCACGTGTCCCCTCCCCACACCAGCTGCCCATGCTTCAGTGAGAGGTGACCAGCTTTCAGGATGTGGAGGACTTGGCCCCTCCAGCAGGGTCTCTGTGGCCAATTCCGTTTAATCCTGTTGGCTAATTTAACTCGGAGGCTAAGGATACCTTGGGCCAGGAGTGGGGAGGCACCCAAGCCGGGTCACTGGAGACTGAAACAGTGACTCTCCATGTCCCTTCTGCTGCTTTTGGCCCTATCCCACTCTTCCCCCCTTTCTTGTCATAAAAATAATTCTCCTTACTAGGGACTCTTTGCCCCCAATTACTCCTAAAACCTTTATTTTGTTCCACTTTTTTTTTTTTTTTTTTTTTTTTTGGACAGGGTCTTGCTATGTAGTTTAGACTGGCCTTCAAATCACTATGTAGCCCAGGCTGGCCTTGAAATTGTGGCGATCCTCCTGCCTCAGCCCCCTGAGTACTGAGGTTACAAGCATGCCCACTACACTCTGCCTTTACCCCACTCTTAAAGCCATCAAATGCAGCATTCATAAAGGTATTTAATCTCATTTTTATGGCTGAAAGACCAAGATCCAGAAAGGGGAGGCAACTTCTCCAGTGCCACACAGCAACAGGAAGGTCAGAGCTCAGCATCTAGATCTCAGGCCTGCCTGCCAGGGCAGTACAGCTGACTGGATCAGGGCTGTCCCATAGGGTCCTCGAGTTGGCGCTTTCCACTCTGTCCCTCTTCAGGAATCCAGCATGGGCACACTGTGCGCCCTCTTCAAAAGGAGTGAACCTCTCTGAGCTTCATTTCCTTGTGTATGAAAGAAACACTAGGCCAGCACGGAGGTGCATCCCTGGAATGGGGGTCTCTTCCCTCGAGCAGGGCCTGGAGGGTCAGTGGAAGCTCTTTGTGTCAGGGGCCTGAAGTCACCAGCAGGCTGTGGCCATGTTCTCGTGAGAAGTCTGACTCTCTGGGGACAGCAGGACAGATTTGCTTTCCCTTCTCAGCATCCCAAGTGTTGTTATGGCAACGCTGCATTGGAGAGGACTGTTCTGTGGGCACCACTTTGCCGCCTCACTCTGGGCTTCTGGCTGGCTGTGGGGTTTGCAGGTCCCCAGTGAGTGACAGGTGGGAGGATCAGGGAGATTTGGCCTAGAAGCCCGTAGTGAGTTTAGAAAGACGCATGTAGCGTGGAGAATGGGGCATGGCTGGGGTGGGGGAGGATTTCAGGACTCTGGGGGAAAAGTTCTTTGAACTTTGCCCCGTATGTAGTGTAGAGTAACTGTGGATCACTTGCTAATTGTGTTCACACCTTGGTCCCAACCCTATGGCCTGATAGTTCTTTAATACTTTGCCTTGTAAAATCACTTTTTAAAGTGTATTTGGTATACGGGGTCTCCCTACACAGCTCAGACTCGTAGGGATCCTCCTGTTTTCAGCTTTTCCAGCAGTGGGATTGCAGGCATGTGCCACCATACCCAGTCTTGGTGGCCTCTCAGCGTACCCAGGGGTGAGGCTGGCATGGCATATGACGCCGGGGATCGAACCCTGGTCCCCGCGCCTGCCTAAGCGGGTGCTTAGTCCACTGAGCTATCTCACCAGCCCTAGAAAAATCACTCTAAAAACCCTGATTCGTAGAAGTGAGCGTGATTGTCAATGGCGGGTGAGGATCAGCTCCTGTAAATAGATGGGAGCCCTAACGGCAGTCACCAGCCAAACAAACAGTGCTGTGCAGTTCTCCCTAGAGACTGGCTCGCAGGGAGCCCAGAGCCTGTGGCCGCCCCTCTCTGTTAAGAAGGGAGAACGTGCAGGGTGTTGCAGCACCTAGAATTCCAGGTACTCGGGAGGCTGAAGCAGGAGGGTGGTAAATTCCAGGCAACCTAGCAAGACCCTGTCTCAAAAAAGCAGCAAGAAAAAGAAAAAGGAAGGAGAACTGTGTGGGAGACAGTCTAGGGCGGATTATCCAGTAGCCGGATTATTCAGTAGCCGGATTATCCAGTAGCCGGATTATCCAGTAGCCGCCAGCCCTGTGGGGTGTTCTTAGGGTTACACTGGGCAGGCACCCGGAGCTTTATACAAAGTAGCTATTAGGACCCTCGTAGGCAACATGGATCTAGGACATTCCATCCTCAGGGAAGGTTCTGCTCTGGAGGTGAGCCGGGATTTCCTCCAGGTCAGGGCTGTGTCTCCTTGGTCAGACCAGCACTGTCGTCCCCTGTGTGAGCTCTGACTCTGAGTACAGTCTCTGCCCAGAGGTTTATTCCCAACAACATGGCCTGAGCTCAAGGGTCCCTCTGGACAGACCAGCCCGGTGCCCATTCCTGCCTCCCTGCCAACAACTGCTTCCTCCTTCCGGAGACTCAAGGGCTGTCTGTCCTTGTCCCCATCAGAAAATTAAGGTTATGCTGTGAGTTTCAGGAAACGAATCCTTGGGATTAGCTGTATTTGGCTTAGAGCCGCAGACGTGCTGGCTAGGGGGCCCAGCCAGCTGTGCCTGCCCTGGTCTGCTCTCAGTGACGGAAGGAGGCTGGGAAAGGGCAGAGGAAGGGTTGGCTCTGATCCCAGGTCTCTCGCCTGGCAGGCAGTGGCGCAGGGAGGACTTCCTTGCCTTTGGTTCCCTGCTCCGGTGGCGCGGTGTCACTGTTGGGGCCAGCCTGGGAGTGGGCAACAAAATGCAGGGCTGACTTCCCAGTGGACAGGGTGACAAGGATGAAGGAAGGGAAGCTGAGGCAGAGGGACAATGCCAGCACCTTCCTAGTGTGTCCATCGTGCCCTGGGATGCATGGTGCCTTATCACGTGCTTTTCCTTCTGTCTGGCCTGCCTTTCCCTGCACCTGCGCTTGACATCCAAGATACGCTGCGTTAGTTCTTGTTTCCACTGCTTTGAGGGTGGGGGCGGGACCCTTGTAGGAGGCCCGTCCCTTGTGGGAGGGGCCTGGGCCTTTCTGTAACCTGCACTTGGAGCAGCAGGAGCGTGACTGTGTTGTGAGCTGCGAGGAGGCTGGGTGCCCCTAGGGACACCCACTCAGATGTTCTGGGCATTTTGCTCTGTGACTCACTTTCTTCTGTCTGTAGCGTGAGCTCATGGTCTCTGAGCTCTTCTCAGCACAAGCCATGCACCCAATATACTGGGCCTAGTCAAGGAAACACGAGGTACTCAGCAGATGCTCTGATGGATGAGTGAATGAGTGACAGAAAAAGGTGCTTCCAGGAATTTCAGAGATGAGGAGTAGGAGGTGGAATGAAAAATGAAGACAGCGAGAGAAGAGATTGAAAGCAGGCAGGATAGGGAAGGAGGAAGGCAGCCCCTGACTGGCCGCTCTCTCTTCCCCCTGCTGCTGCGTCTCGCCAGCCCATCCTCCACATTCCCGCCATATCTGGGGGCTGCTGAGGGTGCAGCTTCAGTCCTGCTGGATCAGGGTTGGGAGCTGGGGTGCAGAACCATCACACTGCCCAGGCTTTTGGTCCAGACAGCTGAGACCCTGGATAAGCCCCTTCCTGCAGCCTTCCCAGGCTGGACCTAGTACAGGAGTGGATTCCTGCCCTGACAGCCCTCTTCAGAGGTGGGAAACGAGCAGGTTGCAGCAGCCTCTTGGGATCTCTGCATAGGAAACAAGAGGCCTTCACCCACTCTGGGCACAGGGTGGGAATTCCAGGGAGTGATAAAGTGAGGACCATGGTCACTCAGGTGAGGTCACTGTCACAGTCCAAGCCCTTCCTGCCATAAATAGGGAAACTGAGGCCCAAGGAGGGGAGGCTGCCTTCCCTGGGTCACAACCATCCAGAGCAGAGCCAGGCCTGGGTCTGGTGCCCGCGTTGACCCCTTCTCTTTCCTTCCCTCCCCTCTTTCTTTTGCTCTTAGCTCTTGTACCGTTTCTTCCAAGCAAACAGCATTCTTGTCTGAGCGATCATTACATAAATATTCAAATGCAAATAAATGCAAGGCAGAAACAGAAGACCACCTGCCTGGGGATGAGGGATGAGGGTGCTCGAATTTGGACCATAGCATTGAGCAGTGCATTGTGGGCTTTGCATGGGGTTTCTACCTTGCCTTTTATAAAAGTTGGGTATAGTAAGGCATGTTAGCATATGGGGAAACAATTCCAGATTTGGAGAATGTAGTTGCATGGATTTTGACATCTATTTTAGCATGAAATCACCTGGAGTATTACATCCTTCCACGTCAGCAGAAATAACCTAATTGCCCAGTTGCAGGGATTGGCTTTCTAAAACATGGAATGGTTTTGCTGAAAGCTATCTATCCAGTCCCCAAGGGCTGGGCATGGAGGTTGTTGACCTCCTTCACGCTGATAAACAATGCTGGTGTGAACATCCTGTTCCTCATGCTTTTGTGAAGGACCTGTTCCTGGTGCAGTGTGCCAGGGTGGCCGCAGGGTGCCTTATGTCCTCCTCCCAGCCCCCACATGGCCTGTGTCACTAAGTCCGGGCCCTGTCCTTGCTCTGTGGCTACAGGGAACCGGCTGGACGAGGGCTCAGATGTGGAGTCGGAACCTGACCTCCCACTGAAGCGAAAGCAGCGCCGCAGTCGGACCACATTCACAGCCGAGCAGCTGGAGGAGCTGGAGAAGGCGTTCGAGAGGACCCACTACCCGGACATCTACACCCGCGAGGAGCTGGCACAGAGGACCAAGCTGACCGAGGCGCGCGTCCAGGTGAGGAGGTGCTGGGTGGTGCTCGGAGTGGTCCAGAGGTGGATCAAGAGGATTGTGAGCTCACCAGGTCCCCCGGGGGCTGGTAACAGGGATCTAGGGGCCATGTGAACAAGTGATGCTGCAGAGTCAGCAGGTAACACGTTGGCTGACTGAGAGGTTGACAGTACAGGGTGGGGGAGGGGGGCACTGGCGAGATAGCTCAGCGGACTAAGCGCCTGCTTAGGCAAGCACAGGGACTCGGGTTTGATCCCTGGCACCACAGGCCACGCCAACCCCACCGACAGGCGTGCTGAGCCGGCTAGCAGGGAGGGAAGAATTAGGAGGGAAATTTCTAGACCAGCCCCACTTCCTTGGATGGTAATGAGTCTCCCAGGATAGGGAACATGCAAGAAGCTGGGTAGGCTTGAAGCATCCCAGCAAGGGGGCAGACTCACAGCCTCAAGCATCCCCTCTGCATGTGAGGTTCCCAGGCAATGAGGAGCAGGGGCAGAGATCCCTGACCAGCTGTGAGAAAGTAGGGACAACTGTGAAACCCACAGCAATTCTCACACAGAGTGTGCGGTGGGCACTGTGCAGGGTGACAGGGAGGATGGGGAGGAGGAGAGGGAGAAGGTCGCCATGGCCACTTGCTGGGATCCTAGTCCTGAGCTGCCTTCTCCATGGAGGGCGAGGTGGGGCTGCAGAGGGGTCCCTGGACTGCGGCCTGGGGGTGCTTCTGTCCACAGGATGCCCAGTAAGTGCCAGCTCCCATGCTGGGGACTCCTCACAGATGAGCTGATGGAATCTCTGGCCACCTGGGTGTGTTGGCAGGGTCTCCCCACATACACATGTACACACACGCACACACACACACACCTCCAGAGAAACAACATTCCTGGGGCACAGAGCTGGGCCAGGCCCACACCAAAGCCCACGTTCTTTCCATGGGGAAGAGAAAGCCGCTGGCTCAGAACCCGGAGTTGGACAGCAGTGGGGAAAGTCCTGGAAGCAAGCTGGCATTGAGCCCTCCGGGATCCGGGTCTCTTGTCCACCTCCCACCCTCGCTCCCAGGGTAGGAGGCCCTGGGCTGCCTTTGAGGGAGACCCCAAGGGGCTGGGGGCAGCAGGGCGGCTGCTGGCCTCCTTCCCTCTCCTCCTGTCAGGGTGACATCTGAGCCGGCCACTCGCCCCCTCCCCACGCCATCGACATCGTGGCAGCTGTTGTCCTGGGCACATTCCTGGGCGCTTTCTCACCCCCACATTTTGGGAGGCCTCCCGCTTCCCACCACCTTGACGCCTGATGGCTCCTTGTAAAATTTCCTGGCTGTCAGGGCAGTGCTTTTGTTGGCCCAGGGGACACAAAAACAGGTGTCACTCAGGTCTAGGGCGGGAGGCGGTCTGGGAATGGAAGGGCAGCTGAGCTGAGCGAGCGAGGAAAGCCCGAGGAAGAGGCCAAGGCGGCCACTCGGTGTGACCCTGACTCCCCTGTGGGCTCTGACAGGGCAGGACCTGACCTTGGGGCTGGAAGCCCCCTGGCTGGGCTGGTCTCCCCTCCTTGGCCCCTAGTTTTCCCCGCAGCAGAGGGAAGCAGACCTGCTGAATTTTAAAGGACGAACAAAGAGCATTTAGCCCGGAGAGAAGACTCGGGCACGGGGCTGTGCTGGGAGGCCCCGTGGGTGCAACCAGGACAGAGAGCACAAGGCCTCACAGCCAGCAGTGAGGGCTGCAGCACAGAACCCAGCTCTGAGAGCACAGTCCCTCCTCTGGCCGGCTGTGTCACCGTCAGCGGGCCAGGGTCCTTCCCTGACATTAACTTCCTTCTGTAGCGAAGGGTGGGACTCAAGAGGTCTTTCAGCTCTGAGCTCCTCACCTGATACCTGGTGAGGCGAGATCCCTGTCACTGGAAGTGTTGAACCAAAAGCTCAGAGTCAGTGGGGCAGAGACTAGGAGGGAATTCCTGCTGCAGAGTGGGGCAGGGACCTCGAAGGTCCCTGAGCTCCGCTGAGATTCCATGGCTGGGGGCTGGCGAGCTTCAGTCTCCAGTTGTGAGAATCTGTGGTGCTGGGATTTTCCAGTGCTGCGGCATCTCATCACAGTGCCCCTGGGAGGTCTAAGGAGGAGGAGAGTAGCTCAGGGTGGACTTGGAGCCAGACACCTGGGATGGGCCACCACCTGACTGCTCAGCCACTCCACCCTTGGTCTGCAAAATGGAGATGGGCGGGGCCCACGGGCATGCACACCTGTGATCCCAGCATTCTGGGAGGCTGAGGCAGGGGGATGCATATTTAAGCCCAGCCTGGGTATCTTGGTTACTTTTCTCTCGTTGCTAGGAGAGCTTTATTTTGCTCACAGTTTGTAGAGGTTTCAGTTCATAATCGGGTGACTCCAAGGTAGAGTGGCACATGGCAGAGGGCAGCCGTTCACGGTAGTGATGGAAAATGACGGAAGTAACAAGAGAGAAAGGGAGGGGCAGCCACAGGCAGCAGAGAGCAAGGCTGTTTCGCTCCTTTATATTGTATGCAGGCTTCTCGCCCTAGGGTAGGTATAGCACTGAGGCTTGAGGTGGGAGGAAGGGACATCTAGACACAAACCATAACACTGGGCAACTGAGCAACTTAGATGTGGCCTTGGAAGAAAACACAGAAAGAGGCTGGGGATGTAGCTCAGTGGGTTTGATCCCCAGTAGTACGAAAGTCAGAGAGAGGGAGAGAGAGAGGGAGAGCTGTCTCATTCTAGGGGATTAAGTGATTGAATAAATAAAACCTTATGAAATGCCTGGCACACAGAAGTGCTACCGTGGCTGCAGGGAGGGGGCCTGATACGAAGACTCCTCCTGTTCTTGGGGGAGTTCCAGGCCTGGCCACCCTTCATTCCCTGCCCGGCCCTCTGGCACTCATCTATTAAGTACTTGCTGTTTGCCAGCTGCTTCACCAGGCACTGGGGACCCCCGTGGGCTTGCAGGGCCTCTGGTCATGGAGCTAGCGTTCTGATAAACACCTTAGCAGACAAACCTTATGTCCGGCAAGGAATCTGTTAAGAAAGCCAGCCAAGAGCACCCTCCAGCCCTGCTCCCTACAGGGGAGGCCTCCCTGGAACCCTGTGAGATGTCAGCTGGCGCTGCAGCCAGCAGAAAGCCAGAGCCCCAGCAAGGACAGCAAAGAGGTGTCAGGCAGGGGAGGCGCTGCCTGGAGGAGACCCAGGGTTCCTGGGAGGAATTTCCATTTTAAACGGCTGGTGGCCTGACCCCAACTTTAATCTGTCTTCCTTGGAGGTGAGCAGATTGGCACTGTCCTGTGCATACACACTCCCGAGCCCATGTGCACCTTCTAGAAACAGAGGCCGAGGAGACAGAGCTGCTGGGCCCTGGGGTCACCCCAGCACTTGCCATGCCTGCCCGTGCAAATGCCCCCATCCCTTGGTGATGAGCTCCGGGAAATCAAGAAATGGTTTTGAAATGGGAAATCAAGCTCTGTGGCCCGCACAGGAGCCCTGCTGTTGGCTGTGGTTTTTTCCTGAGCAGAGTTCCCTAGAGGAGTCATGCGTTAGCACCACACGCTGGATGTCAGCATAGCACCTAGGGATGTAAAGGACGGGCCAGGCAGGCTGCTCACCACCCTCCACTGTCCCCCTCCTCCGTGCTCCTTCCCTAATCCTAGGAGGTAGAGGTCGTTTTCTTCTCCAGGAAGAAAAGGCCAGGAAGTGGCTTCCTAGAAACACGCTAGTGGCTGTGCTGGCCTTCAGCCCAGGTCCACCTGCTTGTAGCCTGTGCCTCTGTGCCAACAGAGGGGCCTACTGCGCTCTGCTCCCCGTGTGGAGGGCTGCACGTTCAGGATTGGGGTACAGCTGAGCGGCAGAGCCTGTCCTTAGCCTGTGAGGCGCTCACACACAATTACAAAGCTGGCCCCTGCTTGCAAAGAGCTTACCCGCCCATCAGGGTGTCTGGGTGGGGTGCTGGGGTCTGCTGCCTCTTGTGAAGCCTCTAGACTAGTGTTCCACTCTAACCACAGGCTGCTTGAGCCAGAGCTGGCCGAGGGCCCCTCCTGTCCAGCTGTGTCTGAGGGTGTCCTGTAGCCCATCAATACATGTTTGTGCTCTTCTAAGCACTGTAAGCCCGTGACACACTTGAGGCCCAGCACAGCCTCAGCATGGAGTTGTTCGCCCCATTCTACAGGACAGAGGCATGGAGACATCACGGGCTTGCTGTCTTAGCTGGGGGTGGAGGCAGAATTCAGAGCCAGGCAGGTGACTGCAGAGTCCCTGCAAGGAGCCCTCAGGCTTCACACTTGTGAGAAGGGAGGTGGCCCGGGGGAAGCACACGCAGGGAGGAAGAAGCGAGGCAAGAATGGGCCCAGGAAGCCCTCCTGTGCTCTGTGAGGCCAGGTGGGAAGCCCCTCCTCTGGCCTCTCCCTGGAGCCTGACATGCCACCTGACCATGCTCACCGTCTATTCCATGCCAAGCAGAAGGCAGCCCTAGGATGGGGTCTAAGTCCTGGGCGCCTCCATCCCTGGATCTTGCCTAGTGAGAAGAGGGAAATAAATCGGAGAGAGGTGGGACAAGGAAGGCAAGTTAGAGAAGGAACAAACAGAGCAAGATCTGTGCACTTTTGTTTAAGGAGTAGATGAGTCACTGCCTAAGAGACAGCTCTGCCCAGCCAGCTAGCGCAGCATACCTAGCCCCAGGCCGTTCTCCAGCTCACTCCAAGACTTGCCACACTCATGTCTTACCTACAGTTACTTGGTTTTTTCCCTCAAAACTAGGGCCTGAATCCAAGGGCACTCACTACCCCAGAGCTACATCCCCAGCCATTCTTATGTTTTTATTTTAAGGTGGGGTTGTAATAAGATCCGCAGGCTGTCCTCCCACTTGCAACCCCCTTGCCTCAGCCTCCTGAGGAGCTGGGATTACAAACATGCACCACCACCACTTGGCTACGTTTACTTGCTTTTTCATAAAAGTTGATGTATTTTTAAGATAAAAGCAAATGTCACTTCTATAAGGCAACTCTAATAAGATAAGGCAGTTCTAAAAAGAATACACAGAGGGTGAAACAAAATAAGATTGAAGTCTTGCAGAGAAATGTTACCTTCTCTCAAGAGCTGGTGTCCAGGAAGGGCAGCCTCAGTCCTACTTGTGGGCCCAGTGCAGGGTGCCCCTGTGGACACCATCGGTGCCCCGGGGGTGGGGGGAAGGGGAGAAGATGGGATGTTGGTTTTATTTGAGCCAGTGGTTTTTCCTTCCCTTGGCTCCTCCTCGCTTTTCTCAATATAACCTAAATGGGCCAGTAGCAGCCCAACTTCTCCAGCCCAGGAAGCAGCTCCTCCCCAGAAGGACATAAAAAGATCCACAGTTCACCGGTGCAGGCATGCCCTCCACCCAGCTGACCTGCTGTCCCCGGGTTTGGGCATCACGGGTGATCGGATGCCAGAGGAGGGAGGCTAGGATCCACCCCACCAGTAGGAGTCCCCCCAAGTGCCTGGGCTCCAGAAAAGACACACTTTTGAGGCTTCCCTTGTTCACTCACTCACTTGTGCATCAAATTGATAACTATGTGGCATGCACCTGCAGGGGGTCCAGCAGTGAAGGTGGAATGCAGAGTCCCTGCCCCTTGGGGCCTAGGACAGGGAGTTCCTTGAATTGCAGGAGACCCAAGGAGGAAGGGATTGGAGCAGAGAGCATGTCCAGGTGGAGGAAACCGAGTGCAGAACCCAAAGGGGGAAAAGAAACCTTAAAGTAGGTCACTTCCCACCCACATTCTCTTTCACTTCCAGCCTGTGCTGGGGACTTACACACCCTGATGAGTGGGCTCTAGCTTAAGTCAGATTTGAGCTTGAACCTCATTTCCACCACAGGCTAGCTATGTGGCCTTGGCCACCAGCTCTTTGACCTCCAAACCTCAGTATCTTCTCCTGTAAAGTGGGAACAGGAGAGTGTGTCTCATGGGGCTATGTAGACAGATGTGTAAATCCCAGCCCAGTGCCTGGAGGAGAGGGAGGTTCAAGGGCATGAGGTTAGCATCCCACAAGTGTGTAATAAATCTCTGGGCATTTCCCATTACAAGGGGCCAGATTGTGTAAGCAAAGTGAGGTCTCATTCCCCAGATCAAGAATAAGCTTGTGGGTTGGGAGATAGCTCAGTAGAATAAGCACCTGCCTGGCAAGCGCAGGGTCCTGAGTTCAATCCCCAGTACAGAATGAGCTTGCATAGTGGAATCTGGAGGGAGCTGCTATTGTGGGGGGTTCCAGATGCCTGATGTCCTCCAGGAGGGCTTCCTGGGGGAGGTAGAAGATGAGGTGTTTCAGAGCTAGCTGGTGGGAAGAGCATGGTACTGAAAGTCACCCACACTTGTCTGAGCCTCAACTCACTGTCTTGTGCCCAAGTCACCTACCTTCTCTAGGCCTCAACTATGAAATGGAAATAATGAGAGGAATCCCCCTCTCCCCCTGCCACACATACATCCTGGGTGTCTGTGCAGAGAAGAGGATCAGGCCAGTGAAGTCACTCTGCAAAATATCAGGATTGGCCACTTTCCTGTGGCTGGAGAAAGTTGCCCAGCACCTACAGTTTGAAGAGGGTTTAATTTGGCTCATGGCTTTGGTGGGTTCGCTCCATGGCCAACCAACTCCAACACAGAAACAGCATGGCAGAAGGGCATGGTGGTTGGTGGTGGCTTCTCAACCCATGGTGACCAGGAAGCAGGGAGAGATAGAAGTGGGGAGCTGGGGATAAGAAGGGGCCTTCCGGGGCATGTGCCCAGAGATCCACCTTTTACCAAGCCCCACATGCTAGCAGCACATTCAGCTGTGATTTGTCCGCGGAGGAATGCACTGATCGGAATGCTAGCTCCAGGGTGCAGTCACTTGCTGCACATGCAGCTTCGGGGAACATTTTAGATATAAAGCCTGACACCATCCATGCTGCAGGAACGTGGATTTCCTTTCTGGAGGAGGCTGGTGGCTCGGAGGAGGTCTGATTCTAACTGTATTTCCACCAGGCCTGGGTTCTCCTTTCTCTGTTCTCCTTCCCCCAGGTCTGGTTCAGTAACCGCCGCGCCCGTTGGCGCAAGCAGGCAGGAGCCAACCAGCTGGCAGCGTTCAACCACCTTCTGCCAGGAGGCTTTCCGCCCACGGGCATGCCCACGCTGCCCCCCTACCAGCTGCCGGACTCCACCTACCCCACCACCACCATCTCCCAAGGTGAGTATCCAGCACCCCTTGTCCCTACCCTACCCAACCTTTCTTCTCTTCCTTTCTCTCACAAAAGTTGTTCTTTTTCATGACCCTTGGTGTACTTTATTGTGGGCAGACTGTGTCAACAACAAAGAGAAGCCCCAAAGTCCTATTCTTGAATTTCTCGGCACTGCCCAGTGGCTGCAGGGTGTAGGGGGAGGGTCCACAGAGAGCCCCCAAGCACCTGTTTAGATCTGAGCTTTGCAAACCGTAAACACAGATCTGGAATCTTATGAAAATGCCTGCCTGCTCCTCGGTGAGGCCCAGGCTACCGGCCCAGGGGCAACACTGGAGCGTGGAGCAGCTTCGGAGGGAAAGAATCAGAAGGTTCTTCAAGGGTCCCCGTGTAATCACAGTCTTGAGTTTTTAAAACTTAAGAGTGGTGTGGTTTTCTGTGTGTGCGCACACAGATGTTGATTGGGACTTTTCCTGAGATCAAGTTAGCCTCCAGTCTATCAAATAAAAACACACAAAGGGGCTTAGATAACTTTTCAGGATCTCTGTTTCTTGCCCCTTTAATGATTGAAAGAGCCATTTTCAGAGATGGACTCATTTGAGCTCAGGCTACTCTGGAGGACTTGAGGAAATTTACTCAGAGAGTCCCTGTCTTGGGGCTCAAGGATCAACCCTCCCTTCCTCCACCTTGGCAGTGCTGAGCTTGGCCAGGGTCCTTCAGTGTGTCCCGGGGAGGAGGTGTCCCTTAGGCCATTTTCTCAAAGCATAAGCTTGCACCTGGCCTTGAAAGAGAATGGGCAGAAGCAAGAAGGTGGTAGGTGGGAGAAGGGTAGGCAGTCCAGGGGAGATGAATTTGTAGGGGAAAAGGGTACCCTCCCACCCTTCTGGACCCTGCCCCATTGCCTCCCCACCTTGGTCCACACAAGGAAACTATTGTTTGCTTTCTGCCTCTGGGCCTCATCTACCAGGCCAAGGAGAGGCAGGGTCCCTAACCCGGAAGGCTTCACAGAAGGGCTCGGGCAGAGCAGCACAGAGCAGCACACAGCAGGGAGAAGCAGATATGGCTCCAGTCAGGCTGTCCAAAGCTGGGACCACCATCCTGAGCTTGGTCACCTTGCATGAGCACCCGGCTCTTCCCAACCTTAATTTCTTCATCTATAAAATGAGTCATATTCTTAAAATGAGTTATGTTCATGTCCGTGGACACCATCTTGCAGGGATCAGTGCTCACAGGACTAGGGTGTTGTCTCCCTTTTCTCTCCTCACTGGGACAAAACACCAGACACCCAAAATTAAGGAAGGAAGGGGCCGGGGATATAGCTCAGTGGCATAAGTGCCTGCCTGACAAGTGCAAGGTCCTGAGTTCAATCCCTGGTACTGAAAGAAAAAAAAAAGGAAAGAAAGGTTTCTTTTTCTCACTGTTAGTGGAGGTTTCAGTCCATACTCAGCTGGCTCCAAGGCAGAGTGGCACATGGCAGAGGGCAGCTGTTCATGGTGGAGGTAAAGAGCAGAGAGCAAAAGAAGTGACAGCCAGCTGGCCTCTCTCCCTCCTCTCCTTACATTGTGATGTAAATTACCCACCCCAGGGCTAGGGTGGGGCATGCACACCTTCAATCCCAGTTTTGGATCAAGAATCAGTCACAAGCCAGCAGCTGCCCCATGACTACATGAAGCTTTGGGAGCACAACTAGACACAAACTACAGCAGGTAGACTGGCGTTCCCAGTGAGGTGTGGGATTCAGTGCAGGTTGCGTTTATCGAACATCCGTTGTGTGCCTAGCACCAGGCAACAAGATTCAGGATTCCTGAACCTTGGCTGGGTATCAGGCAAGACCTGGCTAGTCCCTGTGCTACCCAGAGCCAGCTTGTCCCATCCCAAGTCCCCTGCAGGGGTGGTCCCTACCTTCCAAGGGACAGCAGGGGAGATTCATCCGTCTGTCCTATCCTCGAGGACCAAGCCACCATGCAGCCTGTCTTGGGTCTCTCCACAGATGGGGGAAGTACCGTGCACCGGCCCCAGCCCCTCCCGCCATCCACCATGCATCAGGGTGGCTTGGCTGCCGCCGCCGCCGCTGCAGACACCAGCTCTGCCTACGGAGCCCGTCACAGCTTCTCCAGTTACTCTGACAGCTTCATGAATCCGGGGGCCCCCTCCAACCACATGAACCCTGTCAGCAATGGCCTGTCTCCTCAGGTAGGGCCCCACTACCCTCCACCCCACATCTATCATCGGACACCTGCTGGCTCAGAATTCACGGGTCTCCATGAAGCCACTAGCTGGTGGCACCTCGAGGGTCTTAAGTGGAAGGTCAGGACTCGTCTCGTTTTTGCTTGTCGCCGTGACTTGGTGCTGGGTCATCTGCTTCAAGCTGATGCAGATGGAGAAAGAGGTTGCTTTCTTTTTCCACCCAGAAATAGATGGGTTGCTTTATGGACTTGCTGTCCGCCCACCAAGGCCCCACTCCTCTCATGAGAGAGTCAGGTACCTTCGGGCCATACATTGGTAAAAGCTGCAGTGCCTGGGGTTTTGACTTCCTGGATTCCATCCTGTGTTCTTGCTGATGAAGGTCTGCGCTGGGAATTTTACTCTGATTGGGTCTTGAGAACCAGTTCTCTCACACATGATTGGCTGCTGGTTAAGTCACTCATTGCCTAGTGCTGTAGGAAGTTCAAGGACCTCCTTTATTTTTATTTTTATTTTTTGCAATGAGACAGTTTCAAATCAAATCGGTAGGACAGTTCCAATAATTAACACACTGCATCCTGCCTTCTTAGTGGTTGTTTGTTGTACAAGATGCAGAAATGATACTCTGTTTACAAACACTAGTAGAACAAATCCCTCTACTCCTTGAATTAAGAGAATGTAGCTATATATCCTAACCATTTTGAATACACAGATACAAAATGGACATTCATCTATATCCCCCTTTTTTGGTTCAGTTCCATCATTTAAATATTATAGGTGTGTGAACTCAGCAAAATATTCCAAAATAGTCCAGTAGTCCATAATAGCATTGGGTCTTCCACTTGACCGGCAATGTCAGAAGTTGTTGACCTGACCCCTACAGCTCAGCATAACACCATGGCTTTTTTTCTTGTACTTCGTTTTTATACTTTTCTGCTGGATGGTTAAGACCAAGATAAAGCAAGATCTGTGTAATAAGAATTGTAGTTTTTGGATCTGATAAGGTCAGTCAAACCCCCTCAGGATTTATCCTGAGACCCTGTACCTCAGATTGTAGATCCTTTGTCA